GAACAAATGTTACTCAGCAAGTATGTTTTCAAAAACCTAATATTCTTAACCGTATGACAGTGTGTTCTTTGATAAACTACATTACGGTTGCATAAATAAAGATGATCCTCAGGCAGACTACTCGATCCAGGGTTCAGTTCCTCAAGGTCTTAGCTTTGAATTTTGCATTCTCTGTATCAGTGATAATTGAAAATATTTCTTTGAGATTTCTGGCAGTTGTTTCAACCATTACTGCTGGGATTATGAAGCTGTTTTTCACATCAGTTTTGCTTAATTGATGACATTGAAGAGAGAAGCTCGACTTAATTATATTACCCTTTCCTTTTATTACTGGGGTCATCATTACCAGCCAAGATAAATTGATTTTCCATTTTGGGTTTTATCATGAGCGTCTCATCCCCAGCAGCAAAAATTACACGGATATCTTTCTGTACATAGATCCTACAGTTGATTTGTTTATACTTCCTACAAAGATCATTATAGAAGAAAATGTGATCAGTATCACATTTGTCTTTACCTGAGATGATATCAAGATCAGTTAGTGTCTCCTATTCAATTCAACACTAGCATATCTTAAGAAATTGACCAACTTTTTGGTCATACCCACATCACACTTGAATCCCCATGGAGTTTTGTTCTCAAATGGTCTTGTGACATTATACAAAAGTTTTAAACACTATGCAAAGAAGTTTCTTGACCGGCAATCCAAGCAGAAGCCACATGAGATGATGAATGTGTTGTCAAATGTTTTATGAACCAGTGATTATGGTGTTGAACCAGTGTTGCAATCATATGGTTTCCATTTATGGACCCAAGATGAATTTTGTCTTCTTCAACTTCAAGATTAAAAGTGAGATATAATGAAGACTTCTTTCCACAGAAGGAGAGCTGAAAATTTTGACAACAAGAAACTAGTGGAGCCAACTAAGGTTGAACGACAAGTTGTTGTTAAGCATCTCGACATGATATGGTCCAAGTTGCCTTATTCGAGATCTGATTATATGTGGAGACATGAAAGGAATTGGAATAAATCTTCCTTGTGATATGTTTCAAGAGTCAAATTAGAACAGGCTCTACTCTCCTAATTAATCCCTGCTGAGTCAGGCATATCTATATCTACACTCTTCAAAGATGATAGATTCTCTTTTTAAAGATGAAAGATTCTCTTTTCAAAGATGAAAGCTTTATGGGATTTCTACACAAGTCCAAGCAAATAAAGTTGGTTTTATCCAAGACAAAATGGGGCATCAGGGTCATAATTTTGACTACGACAAGAGTTCCACAAATGAAACATTTCTTCTAAGACTTAAATGAAGCAAAGAAGGCACCACGATACAAGTTGATCAGATGATTCTGCAGAAATGCAAGCTTGATAGCATAAGTTGCTACACTGATATCCAGAGGTAACCCTGGAAATAAATGATGAAGTGAAGGAAGACCAAGTTCACCAATTTGAAGTCAAATGAAGATTGCATCAAAATTCATGCATTCATAAGAACATCATTTGCACAATAGACAATGCATTACATTGATACATTTGAGTGCATTCAAACATGAAGTTTTACAAATCTTCGGAATAACAAGAAGATTCATGGTAAGAAATACCTTACAAAAAGAAGGTATTCAAAACCGTAAATACAGGAATCATGCAAACATTTGAAAAAGAGATGGACTCAACGCCACAAAAATGAGCATTATCTTGAGATTGGGGCATGTTACCCAATCAACATGTTATTTTGAAAAATAATAAGAAAACGATTTCCATAGTTTCTCATTCAATCTTTTCTTAAAATGAAATTGTTGAATAGTAAGAAAACAATTTCCATAGTTTCTTACTTAGTAAACTATTTCTCACATCTGTAAGTCCTTCAGTGCATGATGTTTCCAAAAAGCCTTCGGGAGCTTTTTGATGTTTTCAAATCCTTCGGGTCATCTGTAAGCCCTTCAGTGCATGATGTTTCCAAAAAGCCTTCGGGAGCTTTTTGATGTTTTCAAAGCCTTCGGGTCATCTGTAAGTCCTTCAGTGCATGATGTTTTCAAAAAGCCTTCGGGAGCTTTTTGATGTTTTCAAAGCCTCAGGGTCATCTGTAAGTCCTTCAGTGCATGATGTTTTCAAAAAGCCTTCGGGAGCTTTTTGATGTTTTCAAAGCCTCAGGGTCATCTGTAAGTCCTTCAGTGCATGATGTTTTCAAAAAGCCTTCGGGAGCTTTTTGATGTTTTCAAAGCCTTCGGGTCATCTGTAAGTCCTTCAGTGCATGATATTTCCAAAAAGCCTTCGGGAGCTTTTTGATGTTTTCAAAGCCTTCGGGTCATCTGTAAGTCCTTCAGTGCATGATATTTCCAAAAAGCCTTCGGGAGCTTTTTGATGTTTTCAAAGCCTTCGGGTCATCTGTAAGCCCTTCAGTGCATGATGTTTCCAAAAAGCCTTCGGGAGCTTTTTGATGTTTTCAAAGCCTTCGGGTCATCTGTAAGTCCTTCAGTGCATGATATTTCCAAAAAGCCTTCGGGAGCTTTTTGATGTTTTCAAAAACCTTCGGGTCATCTGTAAGCCCTTCAGTGCATGATGTTTCCAAAAAGCCTTCGGGAGTTTTTTGATGTTTTCAAAAACCTTCGGGTCATCTGTAAGCCCTTCAGTGCCTGATGTTTTCAACATTTCCATCCTGCTCAAAAGAAGCCAAATGAAAAATTATTGTCTTTTTCGTCTTTGCTCTATTCTTGTTAACACAAGGATGAGCAAAGAGGGCAGCTGTAGACATCAATTTTTTTTTTAAAATTATTATTATTAAAATTATTATTATTAGTATTATTATTAGTATTAGTATTATTATTATTATAATAATAATATTATTATTATTATTTATTATTATTATAATTATATATTATTATTATTTAATAAATAATTACAAAACTGGAAGCCCATTTACAAGCCCAAATACCAGGCCCAACCAGAACCGACCCATACCCAAATGGAAACCCTAAACTGATTTAGGGTTTCAGCTAGGGTTTTCAAACCCTAGCCCCCAGCCGCCGTCAACATCATCAGCCGTTGGATCTGGCAAGATCCAACGGCCCAAAAGAGTTCCAGATGGGAAACCCTAGGGTTTCTAACCCTAGCAGCCAGCCGTTTCTAGATGCTTCCAGCCGCCTCCGATGAGTCCAGGTGGTCCAACAGCTGCTGCCGACACTCCAGAACGTCACGAAGCTACCCACGTTGAGCCCTATGGTGAGTCACCACCATAGCTATGGTGACTCACCGGGCCTTTCATCTCTGGAACCGGTCCAACGAGAGCCTCGGTGGTGGCTATAAAAGCCACCCCACCTGCAAGAAAGAGAACAGACAGCCACAGACGGCAGAGAACAACAAAAAACAGAACAGAAAAAAAAGAAAAAAAGATAGAGAAAGAGAACACAGCAACCAACAAAGCAAGAACTACACCAACGATCCCAGAAAATACAAATCAAAAGAAGAGAAAAAGAGACTTACCGAGGAAATCGCCGTCGTGATAGCCTCCACAAGTCATCACAGAACCGAAACGTCGAAGAGAAATATCCTAGATCTACGACGATTGGTAAGGTTTTAAGCTAAAATAACCTTAGATCTAGATATAGAAAAATAGGGGCTTTGATTTGGGTGGGTTTTGTAATTTCCGGCCACGGCGGCAATCGGAGCCCGACAGCGGTGGCTGACCGGGACGGCTTCTCTCTAATTTTAGAGAGAAGCCAGAGAGAAATCTTCTCTCTGTTTGAGAGAAGAAGATAAAATGAAGAAATGAATGGTTGGCCCGAAGGGCCAGCCGGTTTAGGGTTTATAAACCCTCATCCATGCGACGTCGTTTAAGGGGGAGGAGTATCTGTGTAATTTAAGAAAGGGTAAACCCTTTCCGCAGTCCATCAGTTTTGTAACTTTGCAATTTAGTCACTGAAATTGATTTTTAATCATTTTAATTTAGTGTTTAAATTTTATTTTATTATATTTTAACCATTAACTGTATTTATATATATTTAGGAAAATATCAAATTTAGTCCCTCATAATTTATTAATTATTATTTTAATCACGTATTAATTAATTAGGTTAAATTACACTATTAATCATTATCTTTCATAATATTTCGAATTATTATCTTTATTTTTAATACTTTATATTTAGTTTTATAATTTTTGAATTTCTTTTATTTTGATCATTATTTAATTACAATATTATTTTGTTATTACTTTTATATTTTAATTATTGCTTTAATTATTATTATTATCTTAGTCATATAAATATATATATATTTTTTAAATAATAATGTTTATTTATTTTCGATATCAAAGAAAAGGGCAGTCCTAATATAACTGGATGTCCTATTCTGGTATTTTAAAAAATTAAATATTATAAAAATTATAATTTAGTTTTATTTAAAATATTAAAATTTTAATATATTTTTATTTATTAATATCAAAGAAGAGAGCTGTCTTAAGATACCTAGAAGCCATTTTCTGATATTTTTGAATAAATAAATATCTTACTATATTAAAATAAATTTTTGTCATAAAAAATGTTTGTCATTTATTTATTTTTTAATATTGAAGAAAAGAGCTGTCTTAAGGCACCTAGAAGTTCTTTTCCGATATTTTTAAATATTTTTTAATTTTGAAATAATATAAATTTAAATTAAATATATTTTGAATTTTTTTTAATTTTTAATAATAGAGACAATTTATAATTAAAAAGTATCAATTTTGGGCGTTGTAGGGGTGCTAATACTTCCCTAAACGTAATCGACCACGAATCCCCTTTTATTATTAAAAAGAACGAATTTTTGGTTAAAACGCAGATCAGTTCATCTTTTAACTGATGTTTTATTAAAAACTCTTTTAAAAGATAATTTTTAGGTAATCGACCTACCTGACCCAAAAGGCCGATGGCGACTCCCAAATTATTTTCAAAACCATTTATTCACATCGATTTTCCCCCCAAAATAAATAATTTCGTGCCCGGACGAAAACCGGTTACGACAACTCTAATTGCTGGGAATTTGAGGAGCTTCACTGCCAAACCTGGCAATCCTATTGGAAATCACACTCATCAATTGGGTAATCTACTAATCTCACATTTTTACAGTTTCCTTTCTTTCTTTTGGGTTGAAAATTCATGAATTACATGCTTGTGAATGCACAGATAACGCTAGAAACCGCTTGGGTTTTGGACTCTTTAACCTGAACATGGGTGCAACACGGTCGGTTCATGGAACTGGTATTGTACAAGTGCATGATTGTTCTTGGAGATGCATTATTGCTCTCTCTTCCATGCTATGATCTTTATCTTCTGGGTTCAGCTCCTCTGTTGGCTAGGGATTATCATGACGTGCTTGGTGTAAGCAAGAATGCTACTGCCTCTGAAATAAAGAAAGCTTATTTCGAGGTAATTTGAACGCGTTTGTGTTTGTTTGTACCCTTGGTTCTATTTCAGGATCCTATCATCTGTTTATCCTTGTTTCTTGATTCATATTCTCTTGTTCTGTAGCTAGCGAAAAAGATTCATCCGGATGTAAATAAAGATGATCCCAATGCTGCGAAGAAATTTCGACAAGTTTACGAGGCTTATGAGGTAAGTTTTTCTCTCCTGGGATTGTTGTGTTCTTCATGGTTAATCTCTCCCGAGACTGAAGTCTGAAGGCAGGGGTGTAAATCAAGAGTTTGAACTTCTAAGGTTGTGTTCGTTTATTTATTGTTAAATATTTTCATATTCGTTTGTTTATTTTTTTAATATATTCTCACTTAGCTCGTTTAACATTTAGAAATATGTTAGCTTAATTTATGTGAACATGATACTTAATCTCCTTAGGCTTCACATTTTGTACTCCAAAGGTTATCATGTGTTCAATTTAATCCTTATCTCCACCAGTATTTAAAATGCAAAAAAAAGGAAGAACCAGATAAACGAGCTTATAAATAGGTCAATAATCGAGCTTATAAAAGAGCTTATATGTAAATATAAACAAATCGAACACATTTTTATTCGTGTTCATTCGTTTATTAAATGAATATAAAAGTTTTGTTCATACTAATTTATTTAACTTAATAAATGATCGTTATACGAACGATTTACGAATAGTCCATTGAATGCCCGGTTAATTTACACCTCCGGGGAAATGGAATCAATTTTCGTTTGTTCTATTGTAGGCTTTAAAAGATGGGAACGCGCCTCCAGAGTATGGGAACGCGCCTCCAGAATATTATCAGGTTATAATTATAAACCCTCTCTGTCATTAGTCAACACATTAAACAGAGAAGGCAAGATGACAAATGCCATTTTTCTCCAGAATATTGAAACGCTCCTCCAGAAAATGGAAAAGGAACTCGAGAGTATGAAAAATGACCTCTAGACGCGCCTCCAGAGTATGGGAACGACTTACCATCACCGTCAGCCGCTAAACAACAGCGAAAGAAGAGTGACTTGAGCAAACATGATTTTCTTTTAAATGGGTAAAAGGATAAATATATATCTTTCAAATTATATTTTTAGATTTTAAATGAATGATTATGATTCAATCAGAATCATTAAAATATTATCTTAAAATTCAAATGTTAAATGAATGATTATGGTAAATCAGAATAATTAAAATATTATCTTAAAATTCAAATGTTAAGTGAGTTATCTTAAAATAATTTTATATTTTTATTATAATTTAAGTTGATATATTTTATATATCATATTATTAATAAGTGTAAATATAACATAAATGTTATATTTTTAATTAATAACATGTTGTCTATGATTGATATTTTATCTTTTTAAAATTACTTTTAAACATCAATCTTAAATAATTAAATTTTAAAATGTATTTTTAAAATTATTTTTAAAAGTACTTTTTTTATAGTATCTTTAAAAGTTACTTTTCAAAAACAATATCAAACTGATCTTTAAGCTATAATAAAATATTGACTCGTAAACATTACAATTGAGGTTAATAGTGTAGTATTTGGTTCACATACTTGAATTAAATAAGAGGTAAATTAATGTTATTTTTTAAAATATTTTTTGTAATATATATATATATATATACATACATATATATATATAATTAAGTAAAATTATGATATTTTAATCTTATTTATGAGTACGAACCAAATGATTTCAATGGTTAATGGACTTGTTGTTATATCTCGAGGTATCAAGTTCAAGCATTACGTATGTTTGAGATATATGTGTTCATTGTTAAATAATTGAAAGTCTTTAATATATATTATCTTATATTCACCCCAAATTTATATAAAAAAAATCAATTTACAATAAGTATTCAAATTGAAGTAAGTAATATATATTCACTAGAGGTAAATTTTATAGTTTCTTGATATTTTAAAGAAGATAATATCCGATAATGATTTTGATATAAAAAATAATTTATTTTTTATAATCAAATTAATTTTTTTGAAAAAAAAAATTATTAAATCCAAGAGGAAATATACATGGCATAAAAAGTATACAACACCAAACAAAATATCTATGTGCTGTCATTTTGTTTCTAAACTCTTTGCTTTGTGAAGCGAAATTCAATGGATTCATAAAAAATTTGCACCGGAAATCTTTAGGACAACATAAGCACAAATGAAGCATGTTTTTTTTTATAGGATTAATACCAAAATAAGTGTTCAGACTATACCGCTTTTCTTAAATATGTGCCTAAATTATTCTTTGACTTATCCAGGTGCATAACGTAATAAACGTCACCCATTTAGGTGTTCGGGTCGTCAATAGTGTTAATTGTCCCGTTAAGTGACACGTTTCACACTATGGTAATTAAAATTATGTATTTTTAGAAAAAGAAAACACAAAATTTGAAATAAACCCATGACTTTGAAAACATTCATTTCAACCTCTAAACCTATGTCGATCGCCGCCTTTTGCCGTTGATGAAGCTCTACTCGACATCTTCTCCCCTGTCGACCAAAACTCCTATGAAATCATGACTGAACAACGATGGATCAACGACGAATTGATGTTTTATATTTTGTGAACCCTATGTTGAAAATCAAATTCCGATGACCAATCGGCGGCAACTACAATGGCATATGACTAGGAGGATGGTAGGGGCTATGTCGGCGGCGGTTGTTGTGGTCGGAAAAGGCGACAACGACTGGTTAAGGTTAGGATTTGGGGATTTTAGGGATTTGTGGCTATTTCATAGTTTAAGAGTAATTAATTTTTTTTTATAAATATACTAATATTTTTAATATTTTTTAAAAAAAATTAAATTTCAAAATCACTAGATTATGACACATGTCACTTAACAGGGAAAATTAACACCGTTGACGGTCCAGACACCTAAATGGATAACGTTTGTAACGTTAGACACATTGATGAGTCAAAAAATAGTTTAGGCGCCTACTTTGGAAAAGAGGTATAGTTTGAGTACTCTAATTGCTGGAATTTTAGGTGCTTCACTGCCAAACTTGGCAATCCTATTAGAAATCACACTCATCAATTGGGTAATCTACTAATCTCACATTTTTCACAGTTTATTTTCTTTCTTTTGTGTTGAAAATTCATGAATTACATGCTTGTGAATGCACAGATAACGCTAGAAACAGCTTGGGTTTTGGACTTTTTAACCTGAACTTGGGTGCAACACGGTCGGTTCATGGAACTGGTATTGTACAAGTGCATGATTGTTCTTAGAGATGCATTATTGTTCTCTCTTCCATGCTATGATCTCTATCTTCTGGGTTCAGCTCCTCTGTTGGCTAGGGATTATCATGACGGGAATTCATGCAATGGATCTAGATTAGTGAAAGGACAAAAAACAATCAAATTGGACGTAATGCCAGGTACTTACAATGCTAATGTCTACTGGTGTTTGCTTTGGTAATGGTTTAACTTGCCATGTATTGCATTATATGATTCATGGGGATATCTATCGAGTGTCATGCAATGTGGATATGTGACTTTTTAAGCCAAAAAATCCTATGCGGACCTGAACTGAAGGCATGGAAACTTACATCTAATGAGTAGGTTGAGCAAATTAACATGCAACATGCTGCCTTCGATAATTTCAATAACATTTCCTTTTCGCCTTTGATACCAGAGAAACTGCAGTTACTGATAACTTTCTTCATGTTTTATTTATTCATCTTTTTCATGCTTGCTGACTGTAACAGTGAATTGGGAACTTGCATTTTCATTTTCAATGTCAGAAATAAAAACAACAAAGTGGTGTCATCATGATCATTTTTCAAATTTATTATCGAAATGCATGGTCTTCTAGAATTTTGTTTTATGATATGATTGACTCAAGGTTATGTCCTGTTTTCAGGTGTGGATAACAATGAAACATTGAAGGTTTATGGAAGTGGTGGAGCTGATCCCGATGGAACTCATCCCGGGGATCTTTATGTAATCATTAAGGTAACCAGTTTAGTCCTTTTCTGATATTTTGACCGTTTGCTTAGCTTCAAGCAAAGGAAATAATTGAAAAAATTTGAGCCTTCTAAAACCAATTTATTTGTAATCTCAATACGTGCTTGTTTAATAAATGGAATAGAATTATAGAAGATATTGAATTTTTCAAGGGTGTTTTCCTTTGCTTATTTCAAAAATGGCGAATGGTGGATGAACTTGGCATCGACGGTTGTTCTGGTGATCGGAGTTACACTTGTACAAAGAATAGTGCACTGATAAAGAATGCAGTGGTAGGGACCACATTTTAAAACTAGGAAACGTGACCAAATGTCACACAGTATATGGTAACCCTTAGTTCATGCCATTGATAGAATCTGGCTATGCTTCAATTCTGGCAACAATGGTAAAGCAGTCAATATGCTGTGTGCTGCGGGCAGGTCGTTTAAGATAGTTGTGATTGAAAATATGAATTAAAATTACTGTCTTTTTGTTGGGCAACTGTTCTTGGTCTTTTACCCTTGCAGTTGGGCAATGACCTAGTGTCTTTATTTTTCATTTCTTAAAGACCCTCAACTGAACATGTTTATATTTGCAGGTCCGGCAAGACCCAGTTTTTCGTAGAGAAGGTGCCAATATTCAAGTAGATGCTGTTTTGAATGTCGCTCAGGTAGAACTGGAATTTTACTATTCTTCAACCAACCTATTAAGTTCCACACTCGTTGTGATATTGAACAATGCCTATATTTGATGGCACAATTCACGTAATTGCCCGTCTTCCATGGGATGTTTCTCTGATTTAAATGCTCATACAGTGCCAAACAACTATTTTAGCTTTTATCGGTGTGCGTTTCTTTTTTAAGAGGTTTCTAAGTAAATGATTTTATCAAATCTAGGATCATATCCTCTTACTGTTGTTTGCTTCAGTATGCCTTTTGTATATGTCCTCCTGGTGAGGCTGGTCCTTCCATCTGATTTAGCTGACTTAGTTTGAAATTTTCCCCATGTTTTTTTTCTGCAGGCAATCTTGGGAGGAACCATCCAGGTCCCAACACTTACTGGTGGTGTTGTGCTTAAGGTTTGTTGGATCGAGTATAATTGATATAAAGCATAGTAACTGATCTTTATTCATTTCTTGTAGTTATAGTGAATGCTTATTTTGCTGAATCTATGTTGTTTTCAATTTGCAGGTTCGCCCTGGCACTCAACCTGGCCAGAAGGCGGTTTTGAAGAATAAAGGTGGGGAAGAATGCTTATTTTTAAGTTGATATAGAAAAAAGAAAAATATCATTGATCTGTTAACTTATTCAGTAATCTCAACTTAGTTTTCTGAAAATGGCTTCCTCATAAAGGGCCTCATTTTATAAATAAATATGGTTTTCGCCCTCTGAATGTAGTTGATTTTAGTTTGCGGTCTCTTTGATACAATTTATGTATGATTGGTAACAGGAATTAAAACAAGGAACTCGTACTCATTTGGTGATCAATATGTGCACTTCAATGTTAGCATTCCAAAGTAAGTGTTATATGCCAAATATATCTCAAGTTGTTCCATCATCCTATCCGTGTTTTTATTGTACTAGAGTCCAGAGCATATTCAAAATTGAAAGCGAATCACTCAATATTGATTTATGTACAAGAATCTGACCCCAAGACAACGCGAATTAATCGAAGAGTTTTCGAGAGAAGAGCAAGGCGAAGATGTCAAGCGTGCCGCTGGAGCATCTGGCTGAAGAAGAAGAGGACCACAATGACCAACAGTCGTTTCTATTTTGCTGGGTTTGGCACAAAGATTAAAGAAATTGAACCATCATTTTGAAATCTAATGGGTGATAAATTGTATATGATTTATTTAGGTATAACATTGAAGTAGGTAGAAAATGCCTCTGTATATGTTGGGTGAAGCCATCCAAAGTGTTGCAAGTATAGGTTGAGGGCATCATTTGTTCTCTTGGAAGCTATATAACAATGTGATCCGATTTGTCCAGTTAAGTTCTACTAGTGGTCTTTACAGTATAGCAAATGAGCATTGAAAACAAACAGCTATGTACCTGAATGGAGCAATTTCTCTTAGTGATCTACTGAAGAATACCATAAAGATGTGATCCTCCAGCATGCACCTTTATAAAGGAAGCTTGTATTTGAGAGATGGAGATGGAATCTACTGTACGCATTTGACAGGAACTAAGCTTAAGGCGGGAGAAAGACTAAAATTAACTAAAAAGCTTAATCTATATAGTGGAAATTAAGCATTTAAAAGGCACATTAATCTGGATTTTTCTTTTAATTTTATTACAAACGTTAGCCATCAGAACATCATATGCATAAGGCAAGACCCTAAGAACAACATATGCACCAAGCAAATCTGCAGCTGACAAGTTGTGCAATATAGTCCTTTAGTCTCATGTTTATGAGATTCATGGTTAATGCAGCAAAATATAAATCTTTTGTATATTTTTACATTCGTCACCAAAACTTTGAATTGCTCACCTTTTGTCGTCGGACGAAAAGCGCGTCATTGCAGCAAGCTCTTCTTCTGTTTGAATTATGATATTTTGTGCTTGAACCATCAAAAATATTCTCAACAGGTTTTTCCACAAAATAACTTTTATGTAATGTTTCCTCTCATTGTTCAAGAAGCCTCAAAATATTTTCAATAAAGAACAATTCAATACCTAATACAAGTGGTAGGAATTGAGAGAGATCTCTCATATCATATGTAAACTTTGATGTGGCTTACCAAACTTTTCAAATTATTCCTAAACAATAGATAATTACTGTAGGAACCAACAATTAAGCTCATTTTCTGTTTGTACAAATGAAAACGAGAATGAGATGATCAAGAAAAGTGCTCGTTGTACACAGCAATGAGTATGCATTTCGAACCTTGCCAGTTTTATTGGCCTCCTTCCTTATTCTTTTGAAGTTTGAAGGGTTAATTACGCAAATGGTCTCTTATGGTTTCAGCATTTTACAAATCAAATATGCTAATTTTAAAAAAAATCTAAAAAATACATAGATTAAAAATCAATTCAAAATTGAGTTGTGAAAGAAATAATCAATCCTATATCGACTAATTTAAGTATTTGGTGAATATATTTATATTGAACACTTAAATTTTAATAAATTTATAAAAAAAATATTTAATTTATATGCCGATAAAAATTTTATATATATACTAAATCTTTTCAATAACTGATAAACATTTGAATTAAATAGAAGATTAATAACTTTGCATAATTTCTGTTATGAGGACAATATATTGTGTTGTTATAGTTGTTCTGGTTATAAGTTGACAAAGATGAAGTCTACTCGACTCCTTAAGTACCCAGCTCAATTTATTGTCTTCCATGTTAATATACTTTCGAGAGAAACTGTGAATGAAGAGACGATGACAGGAATAAGAAGTAAAGGGTTGTCTAATGCACTTAAATGGTATAGATCAATGATTAGACAATGCCAAGTTTCTATTTAGTTCTTCTTACGATGAACGATATAGATTAATTTACTTCAGTGGCTAAGATTGAACTGTATAGATTAATTTACTTAAGTGGATGTCATCTCTATAATTATGGTTAAAGTTCTAAATAGGAGCCAAGTGGATGGGTCTTCTAACGTAATCACCAAATAAAACAGGAGAGATAACTAATAACTAGTTAATCTAGTTGGACGAGACACTAAATACCTTAAATAAAATTAGAGATTTAAATCATAACGTCGTGAAGGGGGGAATTTGAAGGATCGTCTTCATATTAAACCTCTACAATATCTAATTTGTATTAGTTAATCAATAGGATGAAAACTAATGGTTACAGGGGGGAAACTTGATTTAAGTTGATCATTCAGATGCACATGAAAACTAAAAGTAATTTGTAAAAATAACAGAATCAATTCCTTAAAAAAATGAAATTTAAAATCAGTGTTTAACACGACAAGCTTAAAAGAATGCAAATAGAGCTGACCTAATAAAACAAAAACTTTGTATACCATGTTTACATTTAGATATGATTAAGCAAGTGATGTCTTCTCCAAACACACTTGAGAGGAGGCTCGATCAATATTATATTCCTCCCATTATATTTGTGTGACGTAAAGCGTCTTGAATAGAAATAAGTATATCGATTATGATCCTTTTTTGAATAGAGATAAGCATAGAGATTATGATCTTTTGATGACTCTCCCAAAGGTTCAGAACTTGATACGAATCTAAGATCAGTGTGTACCGTCTCTTTAAGATTCAAATCCTCAACCCAACGCTTGGCCGAAAAATCGAACTTCATGACTCTTCGACGCTTATGCGGCATACATGGGAACCTAGGAACTGCCACTAATTCGCCATAAACATACCGAGCATGAGCATCACGTGGTGAGCCCGACCACGACTTTGTGAGTAATTTCCATTCTTGACGACGAATATAGAATGCACCTAGAGCACCAGCAGCAAAGAGACAATAAAAACATCCACCTAAATAAGTTGCACCCAATGGGAAACGAATCCAATCAATCGGTTTACTTTCTAAGAAGCTGTAGGTCTTCCAACCCTCGTCTCCGGGCCGACAAGTGCTGACACCGATTGTTCCTTTACCTACATACAAACTGAAAACTAGACACTCCGAACTTTTTGAGCTCAAGTAAAAGGTGGCCGTCAAGTAGTCAGAGTGGACAGAGTAACCTACATCCAACGTCGGCAACTCAATAACCTCACAGGTGAAGGGGGAGTATAACAAAAAGTGGAATCTCTGAAAGAAGCCGAGCTCATTTTTCCGGAAAAGAACCCAACCGTATCGACTAGTTACGCATTGATAATCACAAGACTTATTCGGCTTTTTTCCCTCGATATCTTTGGCAATGTATACCACCTTGCCCAACGATGTGTCTCTAAGCTTATGTTCACCAATCAATCCCTTACTTTGGTGTAATCGCAGCCATCGGTATGACATGAGCCATGCAGCTTTATCAATGGTTGGAATGCACTGAAGTGTTACCCGCTGCCAAGTCTTGCAAACTGCTCGAATTCGGATTCGATCCGACCAATAAAGTTTCCCCACAATGTACTCTACGATATCATTGGGAAGCTCAGACCAATCTCTTTCTTCTTTGTTGTTTTGTAAAACCTTGCCTTCATCTTCTTTTTGCCCCTCAGCAACAACATCCACGGATACTCCTTCCATGGACATCGATCTAATCAGCAACTGCAATGATCTTAACTCTATTTAATAGATTGTGTTCCTCAAAACACACACATAAATCCATCCTACTTTACAAAGTTTCATGCCTTCAACAATTTAAGAAGCCCGTTATCAAATTAAATAAGAATTCTGTTCCCAAAGCCATTTGGGAAGTCTATTATCAAATTGGGTAAGAAATCTATTTGCTTTAAAAAGGTTAAATTGTACAAGATAACTATAACTCTAAAACTATTAATCCTCCCTTTAACAACAACGAAATTACGATTGTTTTAAAAACATCACAGTATATTCATCAGCATCAATAATGCATAATGTGTAAATATAACAATAATAATAATATGGGTTTTTGCCCTCGGATTGTAGTTGATTTTAGTTTGTACTCTCTTTGGTACCTTTATTTTTTTAGAGAATATATAAACACTGAAATTATTTAAACAAATTGTATTGTTGGTTTATAAATAAATATATTCCATATATATATTTTAAAATATAATTAATATAAGATTTAAAATAATAATAAATTTAATATTTTAAAATTGAATTCAATATGTATAAAAATAAGTTTAATATTTTTTAAATAAATTTCATTTTTCAAAATATTATAATATTAAATTAAACTTAAAATAATATAATATTAAATTTAATTCAATTTAAAATGATATAATATTACATTTAATTTTAAAAAATGAATTTATTATAACATTAAATTTAAGGGCATGATCTAGTTACACTTGCAGTGTAAAACTTTTAGTTTTACACCTTTTTATGATCGTTGGATGAGGAAAATCAAATATCGAGATTAACAATAGAAAATGTGAATATATTTATTGAAAAAATAATGAGTTGATTTCAGCCTTTAATTTCCCTAAAAAAATGTGTAAAACTAAAAATTATATGTGCATGCGCGCGCACGTTAGGATCCAATTATATAGTGTAAAACTAAAAAAAAATTACATATTTTTAGGATTATTGGATGAGATTAAATTAAAGACATAGGTTAACTCTTTTTTTTGCAGTGATTATATTTTCATTTTCTACTATTAATCTCAGTCATTGATTTCCCCTTATCTAATAATCCTAAAAAGATGTAAAATTAAAAGTTATACTCAATCTCTAAATGCATCCTAACTTTTATATATATATATATAGTTAAAATATTTCTTTAACTCACAGTAAAATTATATTTTTTAGAGTTACAATTTAAGGTTTAAGATTTAAGTTTTAGAATTTTAAGGTTTAAGATTTAGTGTTCATGGTTTATGATGTGAGTTTTAAGGTTTGAGATTTTGAGGTTTAGGTTTAGACTTTAAGATTGGGGTAAAGAGAGAGATTATTTTATTGTAAATTAATATATATATATATATATGAGTTATAAATTTTAATTAAATATTAATCATTTATTTATTTAAATCTGATGACTATAAATTAATGTAGAATTTATTAATTTTACATATTATAAGCATACCCTGCATATATATCCATAGGATTTAGGTCAAAATAAAATCTATATTTAAAATGACGAAACTTGACAATAAAAATAAACTTTACCACTGAACTAAGGTATGATAAAATATTTACATTGTTTTGCTTACAAGGGAAAAAATAGTCCTTGAATTTTACAAGTTTTTTTTTAAATTGATGTCTGAATATTTTATTTGTTAACTGTGTTATGTCATAAATAATTGGTTTATGTACTTATAATATATATTTTTTATTTAAGTGTCAAAAATAATTTTTTAATCAAAATAAATATATAAAATTATTTTTTAGTCAAAATATGTATCAGTGATATTTTATGTCAAAATAGATATTTAAACTATTCAATCCTTTTCATCTAAGTTCAAAAAAATTGACATGTGACATTAATTAGAAAATACTTTAAATACTTGGACGAAAAGAGTAAATACTTTAAGGACTTATTTTGACTAAAAAGATAATTTTAAGTATTTATTTTAACTAAAAAACACTTTAAGTACCCAAATAAAAAAGATGATATACTCTAGGTATTTATTTGTTAATATAAACCTAAATAATTATATCACGACAATCTTAAAAAACATCGCGACCATTACGTTGTGTTATAACAACTATAGTAGAGAGTAACATACAGGATTAAAAAAAAACTTAGTAATTATATATAATTACACATGTTTTATATATATTCGTCTCTCTTTCTTCAAACATGTAAACACACACTCAATGCATGTATATACACAAACAAGCAAATCACCATGGGGATGGCTAGTGATGTCTGCAAAGAGGGGATCGGGGAAGAAAAATGTGAGCAAAAGCCAGTTAACCTATGAAAGATGATGAAGACTCACATTCAAGCTCGAATTCGGACCCCGGTTCATCATCATCGTCAAAAGAATCGATGCCAACCGCGCCATGACCGGGGCCAAAGGCCTTGATATGGTCTTTCAAAGACCTCTTGTGCTTGAAATCAGACCCACAGGTGCAATACCAGATCTTCCCACAGTTCTTCTCGTGTGTCCTCCAGTCGCCTTTCACAGCGAACGCCTTGTCGCATTTCCGGCAGGCGAAGGGCTTGACCCCATGTTTACGTTTGTAGTGGGTTTGGAGGGTTCTGAAATCCTTGAGCGGCCTTGCTCTTGGATGATCGATGTGGTGCTTGCAGCCCGATGCACAGCAGTAACATGGGAGTCTTAGCATGGCTGTTGGCTGGCTTCCTCTTAGTGAGTCTGGTCCCTTTCTGTACTGTGATCCATGCCCCCACATATGCATCTGCACAATAGGTGCATACGCGTGCTTATCCGAAAGTTTTGGTAAATTTTACATGACATGCCTTTGTTAATTGCAAAGGTCAAATACACCAAGTATCGATGATGAATTTTAGGTGGAATATGGTTTATATTATTGAATTTTCAACTTTATTTTAGCTTCAATTATGTTAATGGGTTGTTAAAATTCAAACGGTATGATGACTTTGGCAAAACAATGTCGTTTAGACAATGAGCGTTGATATTTAAAATGATGGTATAGATAATAAATTTTAAGAATGTATCGTTAAAATTTAATGAAAAAAAGAAAGATATAATTAAAGTTAAAAGTAAAATTTAATATTATAACTAATGAAATTGAAAGTTTAATAACATCAAGTATACACAATTTAGTTCATGTAATTTACCCTAAATGCAATATGTAATAATTACAGGTCTCTAATTTCGATGCTCGAGTGTCAGATTAATGCGTTTTGTCTGTTTGGGATGCAAATCTAGGGTGTTTCATTTTGCAGACTAGATAAATGACGAATCACTGGAGCGTTTAGATTAATGACCACCTAAGTCTGAAACCCTGCTGGAAAATCTCTTCACTCCTGCAATTAAACTATATTTTGCACACTCTTCAAAGTTTCCCAATAAGCAAACGGTAACATTTTCCTGGAAACATGACTATCCTAATGACCTAAACCTACCGAGTTGAGTCGAGTCAAGTATTTCCTGGTCCAACACGATGGATAAGTTTGCAAATAAGGCAAAAGGGTACTTAATAAAAGCGAAAGCTAATGTTAAACCTAGGCTTTAATCCACTTAATTAAGATGAGATATGAAGAAAAGGGCAATGAATGACAATCAAAAGAAAACGATGACAAAAGAAGGAAATAAAGGAAATTTTTGCGGATCATGTCCCATGCAACGCGGCATACCTGCAGGTTATTGTATCTGTTAAAGGTTTTGCAGCAGACATGACATGAAAACTGTGTCGGACCAACCAGAATCTGAGTAGGTGTAGGGATCCAGTACTGTCCCTTGCTTGATGGAAACCCAGAAACTGCACCACGAGCCGCCGGGGAGACCTCCCTTACCCTCCGATCGGAGATAGGGCTAGGCAGCCCTATGTTTAGGGTTACAGTTTCAGCTTCATCATCGGCCGCACCAGCGTTTGAGAACAACAGGCTCTTATCACCTTCCATGGAACTGCTTGAAGGTTCAGTCTCACTGCTCAGGTAATTGATGAGAGGAAGAGCTTGTTTGAGAGGAGGTGAGCTTTGGGGCTCCATGTTGGAAGATGATCTGTTAGTAATGAAACAAGCAGTGTAGTGGGGATTTAGAGGTACGAAGTTGAAGCCTCCTCCGGTGAAGAGGTTTGAACAAGGATCTGTCATGGTTATAAGATTGTTGAAGAAGAAAAAAAAAGGAAATCTATAAAGTGGGATTGATTGTACTCTGGCCACTGGAATGATGAAACACGCATTCAATATATATATATATATATAAGATATATACATACACGTATTTATAAATTCAAGTCTTCATGGTTGTGTGAGAAGAGTAAATTTTGTCATTAATATGCTACCTAGCTAGCTAGCTAGGTGAAAGCTACAACCATAAAGAATGGTAAAACCAAAAGGGTAAACTAGGTTTTAGGTGGTTCAACTATTAGTTTGATTACAAACAAATCATATTTTTTTTAAAAATTATAATTTAGTAATTTAATTAAAATATTATTATAAATAAATCATTTTATTGATAAAATTAAAACGGACGTCTAATGCAGCCTGGTTTAAGTCTCCAAGATTTATACTTTCTTGTCCCATTAATTTTGTCTCACATTGATTATGCACATAATTTTATTTATAAATTTGACAACATGTCAAATTGTATAAATGAAGGAAATAACAAAATTATCTTCAGAAAATAATTGAGAGATATGAAAGATTTGTTTTGATTAGTATAAAAGAATGGGAAAAATAGAGATAAAAAGAAAAACGTCGATGTCGTTATTTGTTGATCTTTTTAATATTACATTTTGAATGATACAATTTTAAAATCTAAAATAGATAAATTTAATGAGATAAAAAATATATTTTATCAATATAGTAGTAATTCAAAGAATAATTATAAATTTAATAATATATTTAAAAATCCATCATTTTAATCATTTTTTGAGATATGTCAAATTAATTGAGTCCGTCATTTATATAAGCTTTCCATCAATGAATATTATTCAATTATATGGTTGAACAAGTTGGGCTTGGAACCTTACAAAATACATGCTTAATAAAACTTATGTCTAAAAAAAATAACAACGGGTATAACCCATACAGTGCTTCTAAAAGCAGCGATAAAGCGTAAAAGATTGTATCCTCTAAGTGTACAACACAAATCAAATTTCGCAAAAAGGTATGAGATCGATGCTCATATACTTTTAAAAGAAAATCAATGTGATTTTGTATTATTTTTTAATAAAACCGTTTAATTTAGAAAATAAACTTAATGTGATTCCCTGGCCAACGTTTTTCGTTATTGATCGTTACGGTGCTAACACGACAGTTTACGTCGTTGACATGACAATCCACGATATTGATGTGACAGTCCACGATGATTGATAATGTAGCAGATGACATGAAAGGTAAGCTATTTTGATAACTCGAACAATACATATAAACTGTCACGTTAGCACTATGGGCCGTCACGTCAATATTGTGACGGTCAACTAAGGAAAACATAGGTAAAATGACCACATTGAATTTATTTTCTAAGTTGGAATGTCACATTAAAAGAAAATATAATACGAAATCCACATTATTTTTTTTCAGAAGTGTCCAAAACCTCTCATGCCTTTTTGCCATTCCATAAATATTTTGTCTACTCTCCTACCTTGTGTGTCACAAAATAATAAACATGGTGACTCTGTTGGTAAAATTCAACACCATATTAGATATTGCGAGTAATTCTAAGCAACATGAAAGTAATATAATAATTTAGGAGAAGAACAAACACTTTGAGGCACAAACAAAAACTAAATTGATAGATTTTTAAAATATGAAAGCTTAAATTTATTAAATTCTTACAAATTATAACTGAATTGACAGTATATATAAATTTTAAGGACTAAATTTATTATTATATTGTATTATGCTAACTTTTGTTTTAATTTTGACGGTGAAGTAATACGATAGTGACAATATTTTAATTGAGTTATTAAATTATTATTTTTAAAATAAAACAGGACTTATTTGTAATCTCATAATAATTAAATGGGTAAGAATGCAATAAGCCAAGTATAAGAGTGAAGAAATTAAATTACACCAATCGCTAAGGTATGCCATGTGTCCTATGACAGTAAAAAGGGACGAAGTTATGGAAATAGAATAGGAAATTCTAAAGCGCTCGACGAGCAACAATGAATATTACTAATGATTGATTATTATTATTTTAATTTATAAAAAATTAATTTTAAAGAACTCAACATATAATTATAAATTAATTAAATTTTTAAAGATAAATTATTTAAAATAAAAGATAAATTATACTAGTGATCACCTAATTATTGCCTCTTTCATTTTGACCAATATTTTTAAAATTTTGTCAATAAGATCACTCAACTATTTAAATGCATTCAATTAAGCTACTTGTCATTAATATTTAATGGAGAAGCTGATGTGGCAGTTAAAAATATTTGGTATAATTATACATTTGGTCACTGTTACTTACATATTCTATTAATTTGGTCATAATTTTAATAAATTAAAATAAACTTAACCCTCAAATCTTTAATTTTAAAGGATTTTAAAAGTTACGACATATTCTATATTTATAACAAAACAAAATTTTTACTAGAAATTTCATTTATGGTTCTCAGAAGCATCCCGTCAGTGGTACCATAACCTCTTTTGGTTTTAAAGAAAATATAGTTGATTAGCCCATGCACATAAAGTTCGATGGACAAAATTTTTATCCTACTACTATTTGTAAATGACATTCTACTAGAAAAGGGTTATATAGTCTAACCTGCAAAACTAAGAAATTTTTATCCGGTAAATTTCTAATAGAAAAATGTGACATATATTTCTTTCATGTTTGACACAGTCTTCTTTTAAAATTTTAAAAATTCATCTTCTACCATAAAATTTTATGTCCATATCTTTAATAAAAGTTTATACTGATAAGATTCTCGATGCACTTTGCATGGAAACTTTTGCTCCAATAGATTGACCTATATCAAAAGGGCGATAAATTTAGTTTGCTTTAAATTTAATATCATAAATTATTGCTTGAGTTATTCAATTTTTTAGAAAAAAAGTTTTGTTATAAATTTTGTTTGTTATAAATATAGAAAATGTCATAACTTTTAAAATTAAAATAAATTAAAATGAAAAGTTAAATTTTGAGTCATTATACATGACACAATTTGATTTGAGGTTAGGTTTATTTTAATTTATTAAAATTAGGACCAAATTGATAGAATATATAAGTGGTAGTGACCAAATGTGTAATTATACCAAATATTTTAACTGTCGCATCAACTTCTCCATTAAATATTAATGGCAAGTGGCTTAATTGAATGCATTTAAATAGTTGAGTGACCTTATTGACAAAATTTCAAAAATATTGGTCAAAATGAATAGGGGCAATAGTTAGATGGTCACTAGTATAGTTTATCCTTTATTTTAAATAATTTATATTTAATTTTTTAACTAATTTATAAGTATACGTTTAGTCCTTTAAAATTTAAATTTGTAAAAATTAAATTGATAGTACTCGTCGTTAGTAATGCTCATCGCTGCTCATCGAACGTAGAAAAATCATCCTATAATATCGATTAATATACATTCAATATACTTTCAAATTATAAGGAATACTTAACCATGCATATAAATATAAAGGCGAAGAATTCTTTTCAAATTTAAAATTTTAAAGAAAATATTTTTATAAATTTTCTCTAAAAAAAATAATAAACACATTGATATGTTAATACAAATGTTATATAAACCAATGGGGAATCCAGAAAAAATATTATTGATTGAGTCAATATAATATAATAAAAAAAGTAATCTAATAGAAATATACCTCACATATATAATCTTAATTTAAAATTTTAACAACAACTAAAACTAGTATAACTAAAAGTTATAAAAAAAACTAAATTTATAGAAAAAATACATAATCCAAAATATAATATTTTCATCAATTAAGATGAACTCTCATTTTTACAGAGTCAAATTCATCTATGATCGAGACAAAAAATATAATATTTTAACAACAACTAAAACTAGTATAACTAAAAGTTCTCATGCTTCAGTTCATGACTGTCCTCCCCCTTCTCCTTTTTATTGTTTATGATTTTTTGCGGTAATCTTTCGGATGAGTCTGAAATTAAGTTTCGACTTGAATAAATTTGTTCCTTTAACAAAAAAAAAAAAACCGACCCATACAAACAAAGTTATTCCAGTCCCGGGTTAATAGGGTCAGCGCAACAGTTAAAGTTGATTAGTAACTAAGCCACTATTGAGTTATTGGACAAATATTGTATTGATGCAACGGCGAGAAGTTCCTTTCGAGGGCGGCCCTTACCACTTGAACCGGTTCTCTCGAAACAACTCACATCAATGACTCCACAAGAGATGGACACGTGGTGCTGATAACATAGAATTTTGCAAATTTTGGTGTCGGTATGAGAAGAGAGAGAGCCATGATAATGAAACCCAATTCAGTTAAAAGGTTCGACGTACACATTATTAATACCAAATCGAATTCTATTGTCCATAACGGTAAAGCAATGTATTATACCATTTCAAATTTATTTTCTCAACATGTGCTATAATTAGAGATAATAATTTAATTTGAAATATTTAACGAGTTTCAATCTTATTCGATAAGATCAAATCTTTTGTTAAAATAATTAAGTTTGTGTCAAGTTAAGTTTTGTAAAATATGAGATTGGATTGAGTTTAAGTTTAAAATTAAATATATTTAACTCAATCTAAGATAATAATATAATTTTTATATTTATTTAGAGATAGTTGTTATAAAATTGTTCTATACTTTATTATTCAATTAGATTCATAATTTTTTTATATTTATTTTGAGATAATTGTTATAATATTGTACCATACTTTATTATTCAATTAGATTCTTATTTTATCAAATAAAAATATTTTTATATTTATATCGAATCAAATTAAGTCAAATACGAATTTCATTTCAAAATTCAAGTTTAATTTCAACATAAATAATTTTTTTTAAAAATCCAAATTAAATGAAATTTATATATATATATATATTTCTCAAATCAAATTAAATTAGTCAAATACTCGATCTAATAGAGCCCATTACTATCCCTATTTATGATATTTGCCTACAATACGGTGAATCGTTTGGCCGAAGAAGATCACACTTTCTGGCCCTTATTTTTATATGGGTAAAGTACACAAA